ACGAGAACCTTCCACAACAAACCCAACCCTGAGACCCTGGGACGTCCATCGATTTCTGGTGTGGGAACGTCACGGTTTCCCTTGAAAGACCATCGAACACGCAAGAAACCCAGGGCACCCTGTAGGCAAGCAAGGTGTTTCTTGGAATGGGCCTCCACTGTATTGCAATAGCCAGTCTGGAAACACCTAAGACCGTCAGAGGGGAAGGAAGCACGCACGAAAGCAGAGAGGGACGCACGACGAGCGGGGACGCGAGGCCGAGGAGGTGTGTATGTGGTGTGAAAAAAACCAATGTTGGCGCGAGGTGCACTGCACCGCGCCCGTGCAAGCGGAAAGCTGACTCGGGTAAGCTGGCCCGAAGGCGCTGCGAAGTGCACCCACAACCCACAGCTGCAGCCGACACCCAAACTGAAGCACACAGAAATGGAACTGGGCCACCGTGCAGGCTCGGTTACCAACACGTCGTTCAGCGGTGGCATGGGGTGTTGGGGGGGGGGATGCGAGGGCCCTGACCCTGATCCTCCTCCTGCTCCCCCTAGTCTTCCCTCTTCCTGGTCCTCTTTCCCCTCCTCCCTCCTCCTTTTTGCGTTGGCCAGACTCTGACCGACTGAACGCTCCCTGCAAACAGTTCTCAGAGAGGGTGCGGAAAAATCAAATGAGCAATTTTATCGCCATAGCGCAGACTCAGCGGCGCAGGAGGTGCCAAGAAAGACAGGCAAGTGAAGAAGCCCGCGAGGGCACAAGTATTCGTATTGCGGCGATGGCAAGGAAACACATGGTGGTTATGATGGTAACACGTCCCCCTTCCACACCGCCATTCCACACGGACATCCCCCACCCTCCAATGTACGGCAGCGCGGGCATCATAGCATGGCGGCAATCAAGACGCATGTGGATAGGAACAGGGTCGATGCAAAGATGCATTTGGAGCAGGTGGGGCCAAAAGGACGTTGCACTTTTGATTATACCTGGAAGCTGTATGATGGCGACTGGCGGCGTTGTCTCGCATTGCGCTCTGGCTCCAAGCCGGCATCAGCAACCAGGGGAAAAGAGAGGGAGGAGACGACAGAGGAGCACAGGAAGAGAGGTGGGACATCTGAGGGCCGCAAGGGTGGCGGGCTGCGCACTAATGCGGCTGCCTTGGCAGCACATACAACGTTGCAGCTGGGTCCAACAATAGCACGACAGGACATCGGCCCCTCCTCCACCCCTCCGTCCTCCTCCGCCCTTCTCCGAGGCCGTGCAGAGCGGCGCAGTTCTGGTCTGAATCCTACATGTCAAGACAAAGCCTCGAGCAAGCTGGGGGCGGAGTCCGGTCATCCTCCCGCGACGGCTGTCCATGGAGGTTGTGGTGGCCCCGACCGATGGGAGGCACCCCAGTCACGGCCAGTGCTCAGTCGGATCAAGCTCTTCCTCGTCCTCTCTCCTGTCTCGTGCACCATGTCCTTCTCAAGGGTCCTCTGGGTGACGATTGGCGACAGTGTCTCAGATTACAATCTGGCTCCTCAGCAGCATCAGCAGCATATGAGCAGAGGAGGGAGGAGGTCGGGGACAACGGAGGATCACAGGAAGAGGGATGGAGTATCTGATGTCCGCGTACGCGGCGGGCTGCCTTCGAATGGGGCTGCGCTGTCGACACATAATTAGCAAGTGAGTCCGCTCCAAAGGTAGAAAGCAAGCCATCCTCCTGCCCCTGGTGCTCGAGACTGCCCTCGCCGAGGGTCTTCTAATTCAACTGCCATCACCCAGGATCCTGTGAATCGCCAGAACAGTGAGCTCCCGGCTGACACCCCGACTACGATCGCCGCTGTCAACGGAATCATGATACGGTAGGAAGGAGAGAAGGAAGGAAGGAAGGAGGTGATGAGATGATGATTGGTGGTGCTGGCAATGATGGAGAAATATCCTCTCCCAAAGGTGGCCTGTAAGCAAGACAATACTGAGTAAGACTCCTCCGTCTCTCCGATCCCATCCCCCATCCTGAACGCGAGCCAACCTCCCTCTTCCTCCTCCTCCTCCTCCTCCACCAACTCCTCCTCCTCCTCCTCCTCCTCCAACTCCTCCTCCTCCTCCTCCTCCTCCTCCTCCTCCTCTTCCTCCCCTCACCTCCTCCTCACCCTGTCTTCCTTCACCCCCTTCCCCTCCCCTCTCCGTCCTGCCGTCGCGGGGGAGGGGGGGAATCCCCGTGCATCTGGATGACAGTCTTGGTCAGCTTGCCACTTTCCGCGCGGTAGGCCGCTACCCTGGTGCGCGCGCCGCCGTCGAGGTCGCCGTCGTCTTCGTCGAAGAAGGTCGAAAGAGGGCGAGGGGTGTGGAGGATGAGGATGAGGATGAGGGTGCTGATGCTGCTGCTGAAGATGATGATGCTGATGCTGATACTGATGATGGTGATGCTGATGATGATGTTGCTGATGACGATGATGGTGATGATGATGGCGATGATGCTTATGGTCCTGATGATGCTGATGGTACTGACGATGATGATGATGCTTGCGATGCTGATGCTTATGATGATGATGATGCGGATGATGATATGATGATGCTGGTGATGATGTTGGTGATTGCAGTACTGATGGTGATGCTGATACGGATGACACTGTTGATTATGATGCTGATGCGGCTGCTGAGGATGAAGACGCTAATGATGATGATGGTGCTGATGCTGGCGATGCTGATGATGCTGCTGCTGATGATGATGATGGTGGTGCTGATGATGATGATGACGATGATGATGATGATCATGATGGTGATGGTGATGCTGATGATGCTGATGATGCTGATGATGCTGCTGATGATGATGATGATGGAGAGGGGGGAGGGGGAAGAGGAGGAGGAGGAGAAGAGGAGGAGGAGGAGCAAGAGGAGGAGGAGCAAGAGGAGAGGAGGAGGAGGATGAAGAAGAGGAGGATAACGAGGAGGAGGAGGAGGAGGCGGATGACGGATGGAGGGCAGGTGCAGACTGGGCAGGGGCAGGATGAGGATCGGTACGAGGGCACGGCGAACAAGGATAAGAGGAGTCATGAGGAACATGAGACGAATCATGGGGGATGACCTGAAGGAGAACATGCATCATAGTGATGGTGACACTGATGATGATGATGATGATGCTGATGATGATGATGATGATGATGATGATGATGATGATGCTGCTGTTGGTGATGTTCACGATGATGATGATGTTGTTGATGACGGTAATGATGATGCGGATGTTGATGATGGCGATGCTGATGATGATGATGATGAGGATGACACATCTGATAATGACGATGCTGATGATGCTGTTGATGATGATGGCATTGGTGATCGTGACGATGATGACGATGATGGTGACGACGGTGATGATGTTATTGGTGATGGTGATAATAAATACGAACCTGAAGATGGTGCTGCTGGTTGTGTTGGTGATGGTGATGATGCTGATGCCGATTATGGTGATGATGGTGATGCTGATGACGTTGATGATGATGATGATGATGATGATGATGATGATGATGATGATAATGATAATGATAATGATGATGATGCTGATGATGATGATGATGATGATGATGATGTTGACGATGATGTGGTGGTGATGATGACGGTTGCGCCAGAGTTGGCAGCTGTGCGGGTGGATCGAGGCTCGACGCTCGTGGTCAACTCCACACCCACGACACAGCGTAGATGCCCTTGGGGGGTCGCAGGGCCTCAGGACCTTGCCCACGCCTGTGGGGTACGTTCGAGAACCGAGCAATGGGAACCCGCCGCTCGGAAACGTCGACCAATCGAACCGACCAAAGTTCGGAGAGCGATCCCGCCGCCCGGCAAACTAGACACACTGAGCAGTGTACTTACCTTCTGACCTCCTCCTCCTCCTCGTCCTCGGTCAGTAGCAGCATCCGCTGATATCTACTGCGTCTGGGCGCCAGAGCAGACTCGCAGCGCTGCGAGCTCGAAACGCCGAACCTTCGAAGAGTGTTTGATGCTTGGCCGACTCAAGACATCCTGAATCCAGAGAGGTTGGCACCTCTTGCGAGGTCAACTTTTACTTCCGACGCCTTCCGCCGAGCGAGGGAGTGCACCCCGGCGCTGGTACCAAGGTGTACTGTCGCCCCCCACCTGGATTCTGAAGAAAACCCTCCTCAAGGCGCGCCCCCCCGGTCGGGCGTACGACCAACGGATGGGGTAATCATAGGAAAACCACAGGACAACGGCGGATCGACTCGGGGGGCACGCTGGACAACCAATCAAATGACATCGGCGGGGTAATCGTGGGGTCCGTGGGGGAACGAGGCGCGAATGGGTGGGTGGGGAACCAAAGTGACTCAGACGCGCTCTTCTACTATGAAAGGGCTTCGCGCAACTTCGCCTCGCCCGCAAGCACGATACGAACCGAAACTGGTACCAAATGTGTGGGGGGGATCCCTGTTAGAACTCGATACCATCCGCCAAACTCCAGTTCTCACATCTTGTTCAGAGATGCGCAGTGAGTGATGCGATGGCGCGTCGCGCACAAAACCAAGGTCCTGTTACTTACCCCCATGCCCATGCTAAATCTGAGTCAGCTGCCTTCGCTCTCTGCGCTGTCAACAGCGCTATCTTCACGGCCTGGTGGTTGCTGAGGGAGGGAGGGGAGGGATGAGGGAGAAGTGCAGATCGCGCTTGTCTTCGTGCTCTGGACGCTGACCAAGACGGTAGTCCTACCAACACAAGGCCTACCACAGTAGAGTGCACGCCTCAAGTACGCATTAGGCTGGGGAAAAAACATTGGTGCATTGACCAAGCCGCACTTTCCCGCAACACACGCACGCGCAGCTCACAAATTAACAGAAGAGGCCTACAACTCACAAAGGAGACCACGTCTACTGTGAACTCTGGGCTGATCCTTCACATTGCCTTCTTGACACTCCCGCTATCCTTCAGTTCCACGGACGACAAGTTCGCCTGGAGGTCCTTCGCTTGCCCCGTTCTCTTGAACATCAGACCACTTTTGACTATCAAGCCAAGCCAATACATGTGCAAGAGGAACAACACGCACAACGCGAAATTGAGGAACCCCCAGCCGTAGTTGGACTTGGGCCCCACCTCAACGATGCTTTCTACCCAAGCGCTCTGCATGATGTAGATGGGAAATACGAAGATCCGGCACCACACAAACACTGTGATGAGCCCGAAATAGGACACCGCTATCAAGTGAATCCAATTAGTGTCAACGATGGCCTTCGATGCGTAGATGAGCACGTCTGTGGCTCCATGCAGCAATATCACCAGGCTGCCGATGCGCACGTAGTTCAGCAGGTACGAAAAGGTGGTGAGGTAGCAGGCGATCGTGTGGTGCAGCAGCATCTCCTCGAAATCGGGCAGGCGCCTGTCCAGGAGCAGCATGGCAATCTCGCTGAAGGAAAACCCGACTGCCGTGAGGTAGAAGCGCTTCAGGTCTTCAGGAACCTCCTGGAAGGGATGGCCATCCGTCCAACAGAAGCGTGTCTCTCCTTGCCCGCCAAGCACCCATGGCACCCAAGGCTGCCCCTTGAGCAGCGAAAGCCCCCAAGTGGTCATGGTAGCGTAGTAGAAGAACTTGAAGACAGAGTCACAACACCGGACAACCCTCGCGCCGTACACTTCTGGCTTCCACCTCGGCTTCTTGACGATCATCGCACGCGCGACAACATCGAAGATGGCCCTTGTGCAACACAGACACTGATACCGCTACTCTTTGTACCCTCTATGGCAATGTTCTGACCAGGATTCCGAGGCGAGTCCGGCCGTGGCGACGAAGGCACCACAGGAGACCCAAAGCACCGGTATCGGTATGGCTTGTTCCTCGCGGGGTCCGGAACAGCCACTGGGCGGCCGTCAATCCCACTCCAACACATGCTGCCATCACGAAGTCGGAGTAGACCGGGTAGCCGCCGTTGGGCTTCTGCTGCAGGCGCGAGCTCACCTCCTTGTGCATGTCCGCGGCCATCAGCCCAGCCCATCCGAAAGCAACCACGACCAGCCCACGGAGCAAATAGTCCTTTACGCCGCTCATGTCGTGCCACGCGCCCTCCGAACACCGGCCGGAGGCTAATTACAGAAGACGGCTCCTTCGATGCCAAACCTCTGCCCAGCACAACATGCTTCGGCCGAAACGACCAACCATGCAGAAGGATGCGCAACGACAGCGACTATCCCTCCCGGTCCTGTTTTTCGTCCTGTTCCTCTACTCTCCCCTTCTCGTCCTCACAATTATCCTCCCTTTCTTCCCCCTCCTCGCATTCCTCTCGCCGCACCGTCTTCTCCTCCTCCTCCTCCTCCTCCTCCCCCTCCTCCCCCTCCTCCTCCTCCCCTGCCCCTGGTGTCTTCCCTCTTCCCTCTTCCTCCGTATCCTCATCCACATCCCTATCCCCTCTTTCTTCTTCCCTCCTCCTTCCCTCCCTGCTTCTCGCTCATACCTGTCCTCTTCCCCGGCTTATGCTTCGTTATTCTCCCCTCCCTCATGCAGCCCCTCCTCCTCCTCTTCCTCCTCCTCCTGATCCCCCAAGACAAGAGCCGTCCAAGCCAACGGCAACAGCCGAGCAACGGCACCCACAACAGCCACAGCGCAGCGACAGCGGCGGCAACACCAGCGAAGTGCAGCTGCGGCTGCAGCGGCAGCATCCGTGGGGGGGGGGCAGACGGGGCGGGGGGGCACCCCAGGAGCCCCCCCCCCACCCTCCTCCCTCCTCCCCATCCTCCCCCCCCTCGTCCCCCCTCCCCCCCTCTCTTCCTGCTGGTGTCTCTCTGACTCTTCAGTTGGCTCCCTCCTCCCCTCAGCACCCGCGCGCCGCACACCCTGCGTCACTGGAGCAGCGGCCGCGCACGGAAGGGCCATGACGTGCCCACCGCCCGGACAGCCTCGTCCGCCCCCTTCCCCCCCCCCCTCGTCCCCGCCGCCCCGCCCGCTTGCCCTGCTCCTCCCCCCCCCCCTCCCTTTGTGCGGGCCTGCCGAGCAGGTCGGCCCTCCTGGCCTGCATGGAGGACACCTGCGGGGTCGTCGCCGCCGCCGCCGTCGTCGCGGTTGTCGTCCTCGTCGACGTCGTCGAGCGTCTGTGATCGATGGTCGGTGATCGATGCTTTCTGTTGCGTTCTGCTTGCTCTTCGGGGAGCTCAGACGGGAGTGGGGGTAGGGGGGAAAGAGCGACAGGCGGAGGGGCAAGGAGGGGGGGAAGGGGGGGGGGAAAGGGGACATCAAGATCAATGCTGCGGAGCTGCTGATGGCAAGTTCCATTCTTCGCTTTGCGGTGCTGCCTGCCCGCGTGCTCACTGATTTCCAGTTTGTGCTCGATGGGTTCCACGGGCGAGGCAGACTCAACATGTGCGTCCCTGCTTCTGATCACGCCTGCGCATGTCACATGTTCTGGCACCACGTTGCCGATTGGGGTGGGATCGAGAGCATCAAAGCTGAGGGGCATGTTGCGCGAATTGACCTCGACCTTGGGCGCCACACGACCAGTCACAAGGTCGGTATAATGAGCACGCTGACGAGACGGCCGACGGTGCAGCAGAGCCTGGCAGCACTCCGCCCTCCCAGCGCAGCAGGTCGCGCGCCCGAGCCAGAGGTGGTCCTGACGTGGCGGCGCCTTTCCGGACTGTGGCCATCCGCCCAAGCATGCCATTTTTTGATCCGCGGGTCGAGAGCGAGCCTCTTCCGGTCGAAGCTAAGCAGGCCGCGCACAGCTTTAATCAACAGAGGAAGGGAAAAAGAAGGCGGGGCCTCACGTCAAGGCCAAGAGAGGGCAAAGCCCGGGGATCAGGCGGTGCTGAAAGCGAAGTTTTCACCCAAAGATGCCACAAGCAGACCTCCCGTGCGCACTCTTGTGCTCCGCCGCGATCCCGGCACCCAGGATGCCGCGGGTCGGGTTGTGAGGGCGCAGGTCTGGTTGGGTGAGGGAGGAGGAGGAGGAGGAGGAGGAGGAGGAGGAGGAGGAGGAGGAGGAGGAGGAGGAGGAGGAGGAGGAGGAGGAGGAGGAGGAGGGGGAGGGACGGAGGAGGAGGAGGAGGAGGAGGAGGAGGAGGAGGAGGAGGAGGAGGAGGAGGGGGAGGAGGAGGAGGAGGAGGAGGAGGAGGAGGAGGAGGAGGAGGAGGAGGAGGAGGAGGAGGAGGAGGAGGAGGGTGGACGGCGGCGCGCGCACTCCAAGCTCCAGCTCCAGGATGGCCTGTGCCAGTTCCACCAACTCCCGAGTCGCGTCCCTGGCCCTCCACTGCCCTCCACATGTGTCTGACGAGGGTGGAGGCACAAAATGCGAAGCGGCTCGCGAAGGGGGGGAAACTCGGGCTCGGGTCCCGTGTCCATCGGGTCCTCCACGCCGAGCGTTTTTGCGCAGGCCCGATGTGGCATGGGGGGTCGAGCAAAGCTTGCGTGCGGCCTTGAAGGCGCTTGCCCTTGAGGCTTCTCCTTTCGAGGCGGGCAGCGACGGAAATCGTCCAGAGCAAAGCGGATGTGCTGCCCGCCCGTCCTTTCGTGGTGTGGGGGGTCTGTCCGCCTTGGAAATGTCCGCGGGAGGGGAGGCGTGGTGGTGGTGGTGGTGGTGGTGGCGGTGAGCAAGATCACCTACAGGAGGGAGGACATGAGCAGACGGAGGAGGCCCCCAGCAACCGAGGGCGAGAGATCAACGTTTGACGGGGCGGCGAGCTATGAGGCGGGCGGCAGCGTGGCGCAATCTTCGTCGACCTGTTCTTTTTGGTCATGCTCTGAGGGCCACGCGCGTGCTGGCCGTAGCCATTTCATCCCTTTGGGAGGGAGCGGGAAGGTACGAGGCACAGGGGAGAGGAACGAGGGGATCAGGAGCAGGAGACTTGCCCAGGGACACGGACATCCCCCCCCACCTCATGCTCTTCTGTTGGGGCGCAACGTTCTGCGCGTGTTCCAGCGGAAAGTTATGGGCAAAGCTGTCGGGCCGCTGTGGCGCGCAACTGCGATAAACCAATTGCGTGAACCCGACGAAAGTAAAAGCGGTCAGGCCGCTGTAACACGCGCAGGAGCGATAAACACATTGCGTGAAACAGACCAAATCAGCAATGCGGCGTGGCCGCTGTTCAAAGCGGTCTGGCCGCCCGCTGTAGAACGTCAGGGGAGGGGAAGGAGATAGAGATGGCGAGTGGATCCCTCCCCGCGGGCGGATCGCAGCTCAAGGGCAAGCCGTTGGCGATGTTGATGTCCGACTTCAGGCGGGAGCCGACCAAGGCCAGGAATATGAGGAAAGATGAAGACGAGGAGGAGGAGGAGGAGGACAGATCGACGGTGAAACATCCTGCAGACGGTCAAAATTCATGGTTTTGCTCTTTGTCACTATTATCATATTGTTTTCATTATTGGCCCTATTTGCACTATTTGTGCACTATTCTTAAACAAAAATAAATACTACTTTCCATTCTGCTCACTTTTCGTACGCTTTTTTAATCCATATATTGCTCGAGCTCCATAACGTTCTATAAGCACTATACCTTTTGCTTGCTATAGGTCACGCGTGCATCCAAGCAGGAGCGCCCAAGAAGCCGCCGAAAGGCTCCCAAGAGGCCCCAAGAGGCCCCCAAGAGGCCCTAAGATGCCCCCGCGAGGCCCTCAGGAGGCCCCCAAGCGGCCCCAGGAGGCCCCCCAAACGCCCCCCCCCAGCACGCAAGCAAGTGCCAGCGATGCCACAATATGGGCCGGCGGAGTGCGCGAAGCGATTGAATAATCACCACACTTATCATCACCATCAACATCATCATCGTCATCACCATCGCGGTCGCCATCGTCATCGTCATCGTCATCGGCATCACCAACATCATCAACATAAGCATGACCATCAGCAACATAATCATCATCCTCATCACCACCATCATCACCACAATCACCCTCATCATCCTGACAATCCTCATCATCACGGCCCGCCCAAACTTGGAGACACGAAGTGACACACGTGTGAAAGCCTCCCGTGCCACCTCGGTCCGTCGCCGCACATAGTGCTAGGCTTGCACGGCGGCGGGACTGCCGCTGGCAACTGGATATCTTCTT